GGGGGGGGGGGGGGTTCTCATCAAATCCCCACTCGGTCTACTTCGACGATCGTTTCCCCGCCCCGCGTTTCTCTCACTCGCGCTCTCTCTCTCTCTCTCTCTCTCTCTCTCTCTTTCTCTCTGTCTCTCCCTGTCTCTCTGTGTGACGATATACGATAAACATTGCTGTTAACTACTATCGCGAGTTGATTTTCTCGGGCGGAAATCGTCGCGCGCGATATCACGAACGACCTGCGCAAAACCGATCCGAGCGCGCCCTCCGTCCGCCCCGCCAATCGTCGTCCGCGCGAACGGCGCGCCCGCCGGGGAACCGAGACGACGGCGGCGGCGGCGCGGACGTGTCCATCGCTGTTCTAGCGATCGGACAACGGTTCATAGCGTGTAAAGTGTGTAAAGGCGAACGCGCGGACCGGCGAACACACGGTGCGCCGCGCGTCCCGTCCGGAGACGGAGACGGAGTCTTGACCGCGTTGACTTGTGTGGCCGGCGAAAACGTCCAGGCCGCCGCGGTTATCGCCCGATCCGATTACAACGACACCGGCAACATCGGTGACGGTGACAATAATGACAACAACAACAACGACTCGCTCTGCTGACGGGCGTGCCGGCGGTTTTTCGGGCGGCGAATCGGAACGGGCGCGACACGCCGTGTTGGTGGTGCACGACGTACGCGTGCGCGCGACGGCGAGCCGCTGTTAGCGAAATACGATTCGGTGCGAAGTCAAATACGTAACGGAACGCCGCGGCCGGAATGTCGAACGCCCGCGAGTAACTCTTAACAGCGCGAAGGGCGCCGAAATATTCGGAAACCGTACCGCGTCTGGAAAGCGCTAATACAAAATGTCCGACGCGCATTCCGGGCCGCTGCGATTGTTTCTAATCGAATTAGAAACAAAAAAAAAACTAAATAAATAAACATAATCGAAAATAACAGAAACCGTGTAATTGGGTGAATTCCCCCGCTTTCTCGATTATTCGGGAAACGATATCGATGGTACGCTGACTAGACAACGTTTTCTACCGGAAATCGCCACACCTGTAGTTATTATGAACGGAGCGCGATTTCCGATGGAATAATTGTTTGCGGATAGAGAAAATAAACGATCAAAACGCGTATTAAACGAGAATGTTTTAACCGCGAAGAATTTTAAGATTTCGAAACAGCGTTTGAAAAACTATACTCCAAACGGGTGTCTGCAGGTTTTTCAAGCGTCTCGTAGTGATTTCATAGCAGAGAGCAGTAAAATATCGAAATACGACACGAATATAAAACCAATCTAATTGTATTTTTATTTTTTTTTTTTTTTTTTTTTTTTTAATATCTAAAGAAATAATCTGCGATTTTACTGGAATATTAATTGTGTCGCGTTGTTTCAATTGTGCTAATACAATTATTATTACTAAAAAGTTTCTGATGTATACATTTTTTTTTTTTTTTTTTACCGAATTTAAAAATTACCAAGCGTTTTTTTTTCCATTATATAACTGTAATCGAATCTCATGATACTAATCATTTTTTTTTTTTTTTGTGTCTTCTGTTAAAGTAATATATATAAAATTGAAAAATAAATGAAATTAAAGGAATCAAAAGAAGTTGTTTTATCTTAAAATGAGATATTATTTTATTTCACAGGATTATACAGACATTCACAAATATAACAAAGAAGTTAAAAAGACGCGACACTCGCGTATGCTGCGCCGGTCTTACAAACGGCACAGCCAATTTGCGTTCAACAGGGACAATAGTGTTTGTTTATGTACTGTTTTTTGCTTGTGTTCGTTTTAATATTAGTGCGAATAATTGACCTATAGACGAGCGTTAATAAATCGTGATGTTTAACACACTCACGCCTCTTTTAAAAATTGAAATACCGCGCCAAATTTGCATCTAGCACGGATGTTGTTCTTAACTCAAAGCTTAATGATTGGTCAATTCGCTCCAATATTAACACTAACAGCACAGCATATTTGTTGTTCCCGTTGAAACGCAAATTTACTGTGCCTTACGTCCGTAAAACGGAGACAGAAAATGCGCGGGTATCGCGCGTCCGTCCCCTTATAATAAATTTATAGATAGCCAATTTAAAATAAATCGATACTTAATCGAAAAATATTTTTTTATTTTTTTTTTTTTTAAACTCTTATGTTTCATGAATATAAACCAATATTTACAATCCTGACACACACAAAGACCGAGGCTAACTTGACCTGACCCCGGCCGCACGACCTATAGCTGCTGATTTACCACATCCGTTACACATAATATTATTTTTTTCTCCGGAGCAAATTGCAATATTCTCGGAGTCTGTGTTTATTTTTTTTTTTTTTTTTTTTGTGCTTTCCATCACCCGAACGGATCATTATAATATCGAAATAAATTATACTGCGGGTATAATGATTATTTCTTCGCGGCTAATGTACATACATTTTAGCGTGTTTTTTTTTTTTTTTGCCCGTCTATATAATATTATTATAATTTAACGTGCCGCTCCGATGGTCGACAATAAATTGTTATTATAGGCGTAGACGAGCGACCGTGTCATCAGCTGTACGGTGACATTTCGATACGGAAGACCCTACGATTTTATTGCCGTGAGAAATCGGCGAAATTTACCGCAAACAAAAAAAAATAAAATATTAATCACTTTGAACGCGGCAAAAAATTCTGAATTTAAATCAATTTTTTTTTTTTTTTTTTTTGCAAAACGAGCAGTACTTCACGCGCGGGGCAATTACGTATATTATCGGACCGAATTTGATTTGACTAATGCACATCATCGCCGCCATCAAATTAAAATGCAGTAAAAATCATACCTTTTGAAATAATATATTTTCATTATGTTTTATACCATAGATATGCTACGGCACTGGCGGAGCTGTAGACTTTGAAGTTAATTACAATAATTGAAACGCGCGCGCGGGCTGCGGAGAGACTGCACAAAACCGAAAAGGGTTGTCTGAACATTTTCCATTTACGCGATACAATATTATGTATTATATTTACCCCCGTAGCTTACGATATTTCAACGGTGTACGAGTAAAAAAAAAAAAAAAACAAAAAACAAAAAAAATATGGATACACAATCCGCTCGGTTTTACGGTCGATATTGATAAGATTTGAACCGAACGCGCGTACAGAAATAAAAAAATACCCGGCAATATGTTCGAAAATCAAAACCGAACATCAATATTACTGTGTGAAACGATGTTCGGTTTGTTCCGTGTCGGCAGTCCCGATTATTTTACGATGTCCAGCTCTGCGTCCTCGGGGTTCGAATTCGCCACCGTTGCTGGGGCCGTAGTCGAGGAGTCGGTCCGGGGATCACCGCTAATACAAATAATTGCTTGTCAGACATCTCCGCCTTCCGTCGCATAAATAACGGGCAGTATAACTGGTTCTGTCCGCGAATTTCGCACTTTTATGTGTTTTTTACTGCTGTTCATGCGGACGATAATTATTACGGAAAAAGTTTTTGTTTTTTTTTTTTCTGCTTCTTCGACTATATTATTCGATATTCTTCGCGTATTAATCGCGTGCGATTCGTCCGTCGTCGTCGATTTACATAATATTGCAATTGTTACCCGCCTATTATTTCCCCAAACGGATTTTTACTCGTACAATAAACTCTCGGCCGTTTAGACGATCGTCGTCGTTTTAGACGCACACATAATATTACGAAACATAATATTTATGTGTATTACCAAAAACCAGTTCACCCGACCGACGACTGTATCCTCCTCCAGGGTTTGTGGGCCGCTTCTATCCGTCTATCGGCTCACAGCGTTTCCCACGAGAACCCGTCCCCGTATGTGTATAATTATTAATTTATTACTACCTATAATACCCGTGTTGCTGTTATTGTATCGCTCGGTACCTATATGATTACGTGTTTTACGTAGACACATTATCTGGATAAGTTAATTTCTATATTTTTATCTTTTATTTAAATAAATGAGACACGAGTAATCCGAGCCGTAACCTACCCGAGGTAAACATAATTTTTATCATTGAAACAAATCTTTTAAATCGTTATTTAAATATTTATTAGAAATAATAATATGTGAAACATTTAATTTATGTTAACAAATAGGTACCTAGTCAAATAAATATATTGTTAAGTTACGTCAATCGCGCACATTTTTTTTTTTTTTTTTTTTTTGATATTTGGATTCGTATCAAATCTGATAGGATTTAACTACTTTTAGTACTCGGTTTTATGATTGGTTATAAAAAAAAAAAAATCATCTTCTTTCTCATCCGGATAAAATGTTTCTGATTTTTATTTTAATTAAATAGTGTTACGTATCTTTTAATTTCAATCTGGATAATTATTCTAGCAATTATCTCTTATCTTCACCTAAATATGTTTAAATTAATATGCGTACAACGCTGACACAAACGATACATAAAAAGGCGATTATTTTAGTACGAATAGTATAGCGATTATCTGTACCCACGAAATTTCGAGTGTTTGATTTAGGTTATGAACATTCCGAATATCGATGATAATATTGTTATGCGTTTAGAAATAGTGGCGGATCACATAATGGTCTTCTGTGTTCGATTATTATTAGTTGAACTGCTGGCGCGGAAAGAAAATATCGGGGAAACGACGGTAAGGTGCTCTCCATAACTTTCCAGTGGCTGACTGAACGACGCACCGTGCGCGAAAGGAGGAAACGAGCGTACGTAAGTAAAAACTGTTCCTTTATTTTGTTCGCGTTAAAAAAGAAGGATATTCGAAACTGGACAATAACCGGTACCGATGATTTTTCAGGAACCGGCCCGTCCCCATAATAATATAGAATACTTGTAAAACGTTCGATTACTATCGGCGAGACTGTAAGTATTTAATATAGTTATTACACAGAGAAACTCGACACGTATATTATTATTTTTGTAAAAAAAAAAAAATGGGAAACACAATAATTGTTTGACCCATTTATACATTTGAAGTGAGCTCGAATGGTTACTGTCAGACACATGAGCAATTATTATTATTATTGCGTGATCAAACAGTATTTTTTTTAAATCATTTTTTTTTTCCTAGGTGAAATTATAGAACGGTTTTAAATAATACATACGTCTGGATATTATTCTTGTGATAATCCGTCATCGCCGCAGCTCGTGTAATTTAAAATGCGCGTCGTTTGACGTTTTACACTTTTTTTCACCCCCTCCCGTCTATTATTATTTACCTTCAAAAAATTCCTCGACCGGAAAACTGCGCGTGAGTATTCATAATAATAATAATAACAATAATCAAAGGTGCACCATTCAATTCCGTGCTACAGCAGCAGCATCACAATGCAGCTGTTGATTGGTACGCCCGATGTTTGCGGTCGGCGACGGGAGTAAATCGCGGAACGTTAGGCCGGATAGCGTGTGTTAAATATATTACAGTATGTATATATATATTTTTTTTAACGTTTCCTTAAAAAACTGCGATAGAGGCAGAATGCAGCGGTATTCGTCGGACGCGAAACGGTGCGCGTTTGATTCGGCAGTATATCGCGAACGCGTGGTAAACATCTGATTATTGGGTGTTTTTTTTCAAACACTACAATCACCGTCGTTATAACGTGACCTCACAACTTTTTAGCCGCCATCGTCGCTGTAATTTGTCTCCAATAATCGCAGTCCTGGATGTTTTCTTTAAATCCTGTCGATTCCATAATTTCCCCGTTTAAGATCTGTTCATGGCCAAAATATCTAAATAACCATATATAAATCGAGTGCGCGTAACTTCTGAATACGATATTAATGATATTACCGTACTTCAAAAAATGTTTTTACAATTCAATTATCCGTGTATATAGTTTTATAATACAATATTTCTGTTTTTGAGTTCAAACAAAAAGCGTGCGTGCAACTATAGTATGATATGAAGTTAAAGGTCATTTAAAGAGAAAATATTATAGTAACGTTTGAAATTTATATACTATGTAGATGAGTGAAAAAAAAAAATAGGTGTTCCTCAATAAAAATATAGTATCTGAACTCGATTAATAATAGTTATGATAATATCTTATAAAAAATATATATTTTATAGGTACGTAAAATAAATAATATCAGAGTACGAACGATAGGCAATTAATGAAATCAATCGCTCCGAACGAGATAACAAAAACAAAATAATCGTTTCAATAAAGGCCAACAAAGTTAACGAACATTTAATTTCAACCCGATGGAAATACGAAAAGAGTTGAATTGTTGACAAAAAAAAAAAAAAATATATGTGAAAAATGTTTAATATTTAGGTACGCAGAATACATACATTTTTCTGTATATTTAAATTCACGTAAATCGCAAACGGAATCATACTTAAACAAACTTAAAATTATATTTTTAAAACAAATTTAGAACCGAGTGGAATCGCAGTAAAAATTCATACACAAAGGCTACCTGTATAAAAGTAATTTTCTCCGCTGGCGAATGCGCAGACCCTATTCCTAGTTAGGCCCAAGCGGTATGTAAATAAGCACAACCCGTCGAGAGTTTTTATCGACTAGATAGTAGGGTTTAGTTTTACGCTCGCAGAACACTAAGATCCTTAAAACAGTATCAAGTGTGGACCAAGTTATATATTATACGAGGTAGGTATGGTATTTCGTAAAATTCCTAAAACCATCTAGGTTACGTTTCGGCTTGGGCCGGCCGGTAGGGTCGATAAAAACGTTTATCATCGCCTGTCCACAATTACTATATATTTTATTTCTCATAAAAATATTTCGATTTTATTTTCTGTTAACGTAATTGTGTATCACGCGATAGCTGATTAACTTAGGCGAAACGTACCCCATTTGATTGAATCGGAATTATTAATAAACTAAAGAGCAGTGTAATACACTGAATTTAGTTTGTAATATTATGTGGGCGCCTGCCTAGTTTTCAATTTATTCCACTCGTCAGTTTCACATTTATGATATATTTTTAACCTATTAAAAAATCAATCATTAATTTGTTCTCTATATATAAAATATATATTACAAAACAATTAAACAGGTGAATACTTCATTTCTAATCCGTATCGATTAATGATTTAAACATATTTTGATTTTTTTTTTTCTAATTAAAGGAATTGAATACCGACATTTTCTTGATTTGTTAAACACATAACTCAGTATAACGATTTACATCGATTCTCCACCGATCAACTGGATCGACGAAGTCAAGCGAAAGGAGTTTTATTGAAAACAGATTCGAATTCGACGGGAAATAAACTGCTCGTTTTCACACGGGCCATTTTTTAGAATTTCAATCGTTTGTTTACAGAATTTGGATTCGACAAATTTAAACCGTAAAAATATTTCAGTAATAAAATATGACAAAATTATAAATATCATCTCTACTAGTTTAAAATATCCCTGTTATAAAACTACGGTTCGAAATTCTGCTCGAGAACTAATAAGTTTATTAAATTTTGGACTTTAAAAATAATTACAGAGTACACTCGTTTCTACATATTTTGTTGGAACTTGATACAATTTTTAATTTTAAAAACCGCATGGTATCCGAATAAAGCACGCCGATAAATCAAATTTCATTTAAAGATTTTTAATTTACTTAAAGAAAAGACTCTAAAGACTTTTCTCTGCGAGTGTTATTCATTTTATATTTTTTTTTTTTTTTACTAAGGTAGATAAAATATATAAATGTAATTAAATAAATTGAGATGTATTTTCATTATTCGAATAAAAATAAGTTACTTTAAATGTTTAGTTATATACATAGTTAGTAGTCATATAATCATATATAAGCCTTTTTTATATTATGCGCACTTCTTCTGGAGCATGTCTTTGTTTACTCATTATTTAAATGAAAAAGAATAAAAGCCTAGAGCCGGTAGGTCGTATAGTTTCGATTCACAACAAGAAAAAGTTTATCGTTTGTTCGTATTCCCGGATCATTTTCATTTTACATTTTCGTTACCTACGTAGTTTCACTTGGATTTTTTTTTTTATTCTTCCTCCACCTCCGTTTTATAACTGTATAGTGTATATAATATGCCTGCGTACCGTTTATATTGGTTACAACCACAAGGTGGTTTTATACAAGTTATCGAGGCGTTGTCTTCGTCGTTTTGCAGAGGAAAAGTAGGGAGAAGAGAAAAGCCGCATGAATCGCGGGTAAATAAATCTGACACTGCATTTTAAGCTTTTGTATATTTGGTTATACATTATTGGATTCTCGAAATGAATAATACGCGTATTCTTTTACTCTCTAAAACGAATTAATTTTACGCGAGTTTCGTAGTACCTACTTTTTTTTTTTTTTTTGTAAATATATTTTAAGCTCGTTATAACCCTCCTCTTACCCCCTCGAATTGTATTATACGTATTGTTTCGAATAATAGGCACAAAAATTATTTAAATCCTCCCCGGAAGCAAAATGATTACATTACGTTTGCGGTGAAAGTCTTGCGGGCTTTATAAAAAAAAAAAAAAAATTAAAAACATACATAATTGGAAAGAAAACACAATGGATAGATATAAATATACTTAAATGGATATAATATATTTGTTTCATAAATTATTTCCGCCGCGGCTTACGTGCTCGAATAAGTCCACATAATATTTTATACTATAAGTATATATTTTTACGTATTACAGCTTCATACTATGTTTGACATATCTATTCACCTCAAAATTTATTGCACACTGTCGAATCGAGACGATGTAATATTTTAAAATTCGTATAAATTACAACCATCGCGCAGTATGGGTATTAGTCCGCAGTGTGAATAGGTCACATACGATAAATTATGTCACTTTGAAATATCCTCGGGGCGAAAAAAACACCTCCGTTCGTACCTATAATGAACATATGATATAACGGCATTTTATCGAGTGTGGAAAAACTAACAATTTTGATAGGAGTTTTTTTTTTTTTTTTGAAAAACTCACAACCGTTTTATCTTCGAAATAACGGTAATAAATTTAACGTTGTTATTATGTCATACGCGTTTACACTAACAATGATGAGACTTTTTCGAGTTTTAAAAATCACGTGATTTATATATCTACTAAAAAGTAATGTACCATATTATTATGATATTCAATAAAAACAATGTTCGGAAAGAACGCATTCATTGAATTTCATTGTATTGATAATACATTTGATATATTTTTAAAGAATGGTGTATGCGATGCATTCGATTTGCATAGAAATATGGCGGCAAATGGAATTTAAAATTATCGTTATATTTTGATGATAGAATCCCACCCAAATAATACCTTTAATCTGTAACAGAAATTCGAGCAGTATCAATATTAAATCGGTATACAGAGTACATGTACATAGAGGGTTTGCCTGCAGCTATCCGCTTTCTGAATATTTGTAAATCGATTAACGTAATGGCCAATGATGGGTGATTGGGTTTAGTAAAAAAGAAAATATTCAAAACAATTTTGTGTGGAATACGCTTGGAATGTATTCCAAATTTTGATGAATGTCAATTTTAATGTATTCATTATATAAACAAAACGTTACTTTTTTAAACTAAGTAATGTGAATATAGGAAGCTATTTTGTTTAAAAAGGAACTTCCAAACACTGAATAAAAAATTATGAAAATATATGCAATATATGTACAGTAAAATACGAGGTGTCTCGAAACATATACATATACGGTCAAATATGCAAATAAAATGTTGTAAGATCATTTCTATTTTTAATAGTAACATTTGGTATCTAATCGAACGATTAGAAAAAAATATTAAGAATTTATTTATAAAAATATCCTTGTTTTTTTTTTCCGTTTTGAGCCAGTTGTAAACGACAATGTCTTGGTACTTCGAGAGTTGGTGCAATACAGTGGACACATTAACTCACGATAGGATTCAAAATGTTAATAATGTATATAATAAAAAAAAAAAAAAAACACGCTCTAAGTCTAAAATAACGAAACTTTCTCGTGGCGGCATTATTGCTACAATACGGTATACTGTTCACATAACCTCTGGTTGTGCTGCATCAGCAGCAATAATAATATTTCAAATTCACATTGTCGACGCAATAACTAATAAATAAAAATATACGTATCTATGTGTGTGTGTTTGTGCTTGTGTGTTTGTGTGTTTTGGGGTTTTATGGTAAAATCCGTTGGTACAACGCACACGTATAATGTTCACTACTAAGCATTACGGGATTGAGACATATTATCATAGTGTATATACTGCAGCATCCAGGAGCCCATAAAACCGTATTATATTATAATATAGTAAGTTATCAACTGGGGATAAATCGTTTCGGCCGAATGTGCTTCCTGTTCTTATTCTCCTTCTTCTCGTGTAAGCCCCGTGTTACTACGTCAAAATGTGCCGCGTCCGTTTTTATCTAACCGATGAACGGCTATTGTAGCAATACTGTATAGCTGCTGTTATTGTCGCGTTTTTGATATAATAATTTACACGATTTTATCATTGTCTACTGAGATTTTCATCTTCCGTGTACTATTTACGACGATGCCGAAGACGCGACGCTTAGATATAGAGTAAAACTTTAGCTGAAATAAATATACGACTGAGAGAGGGCGGAGGGAAATCGAGATAATACAAGCAACAACAATTTCTATAAAGTACTTATACTTACTAACCAGAACGTGTTGAATTGTTTACTACCGTCGTAAATTCAAATAACAATACAAACGAAATTAAATTAACATCTTACTTGTACACTGTACAGGGTGACCTTTTTTCTTTTTTTTTTCTAACCAGTTTTTATACACATATAAATGAATTGAAAGCAGGCACCTATACAAATTATTTTATTAAAAAAATGTTCTTTTCCGAACTTTTTTCTCGTTTCAGATAACGACGACCTTTTGTTTTTGCCTGCGGAATGCAAAATCTATGTATTATATATAGTCTTTATGTATCTCATGACTACATTTACTACTTGAAGAGTTACCAACACTAATAATGTTCTGGAATCTAGGTAATAACGGCTGCGAAAAAAATGTCCATGTACCAAAATGGCTAAATAGAGAGAATAGGAGAATACTACTAAATGCTCGTACAAAAATGACCGGGAGAAAATATATTCGTTAAACAAATCGGATATCAAAAAAAAATTATATATATATATATATGTATATTTAAATTAAATTGTTTCATCTGCCCATATTTTTCTCCGCCATAGTTTCTACTGGTCGATATTTCCGTATTTTGGTACGGGGACATTTTCACCTGGACCTTTTGTCCGTGGCTATATTTACTTTGCTCATTATAACCGACTACCAATGTTTTGATAGCTCGAATTATAGCAATACATTTTTGAAGTAAAAAATAACTATAAGTATTATAGTTTTACTAAATAGCATATAAAAACGAGGCAATTTAAAAATCATTCCGTATAATATTAATCGCGTTTTGTGAAAATATATCATCTACCTGACACGGAAATAAATAAATGAAATATGGAAATAAGGGCGGAACGTTACATTATTATTGCTGTACGTGGTAAATTACATTCACAAAATCGACTACATTAATCATGACAGCTCATAAAAAAAACTGTACACAGGTACGTCTGTTACTTTATATTTATCTTTTTTCGTCCTTTCTGTTGTCCCTGTAAAAATATATATTATATTTTTAGACTATGCATGTTTATTCACGTTTAAATGTATTTTGTTTTCACACCTTAATGTTATTTTAAATGACATTGTGAAATTATCAACCCCATCTCTTGTTTCTCCATTACATATTATCTTAATCGAATATTGCAGAGAACACTCGTGCGCGTTTCGGTAAATTATCTAATATCATAGCAAAATACACGGGTTTAACAATCAACGTATGCTTTTCAAACGTTCATCATTTTTCGTCTTTACAAAAATATAATCTACTCGTACATTTTGTTCGGGTCGTGTCACCTCAAAATAATAATAATTAACTTATTATAACGGAGTCCAATTGAATTGCTTATTACTATTACTATTTTTTTTTTTTTGCATTTAAACTGTACATTCGTTTTTAATATAATTAAATTAATTGGTCAAATAAAACAGTAATATACTAATAATAACGAAACGACCGAAAATTGTACATTATTTATTCGTGTATGCATAAATAATATTTATTTTTTTTGCGATGCGAATATACGAGGGAATGAAAAGAAGAAGCTTCAACAAGTTGCATCTACGGTCATATAAATTTCAAGCAACTATTATATTTTTATTGTACCGACCTATTCTTATATATTTTTAATGAGCACTTCACATTATAGGTACGCGTATATCGTATCATGTCTTATGCAGATGTCCCACGAGAACGAACCTCGGCGATAATCGAAAAGTATAGGTACTTTTTTTTTCTTTTTCTTTTTTTCATTTACATTTGTGCATACTACAAATATCCACAATGTGTAAGTAATTTCAATAAATTGTTGTATAATTTACAGAAGAACAAATAAATTTCAAGTTTTCTCTGTTTAAATAATGAATATAAACAAGAACACATCCAATTATTTTTCGTTGATTTAACTTTTTCGAACAAATATGACTATGAAGTATGTATATGTTTAAACGCTAAACATATATGAACGAAAATGAGTGGGCCCGCTTCGAAAATGAAGCAACGGGGAACTGGCGAAGGAAATTTAACAGAGTTATGGCGAAACTAACACGGCGTATACAATACAAGTTAGGTCAAGTTAGGTCAAGAAGATGAGAAAACGAAACAATGAAATGAAAGCCCCGAGTAAGAGGACTCAGGAATATATGGATCGACGTACAATAGTAGAGGAACATTTTAAAAGCTTAGGAGTTGAGAAAGAGTAGGTTCTTGATAGAGGTAGTGGCGAATTGCGGTAATAAAAACTCTTAGAGAGTATAGGTATGCCAATTAGAAGAACATCCAGACTAGAACAGAGTTTCGGGAAACGAATCAAACAAATTACAATAATTTTCAATTTTCATACTATACACTAATTTAAAACCACTTCTTGTTTTATCGAAATTGTTTTTGTAACATACTTATTGTGATATTGTCACTTTCCCGCGCATAAACGATCTCGTCGTTATCATTATTAAGTAAATAAAATATACCCATGTAATTATCGTCATTTTCAATCTTTTACGTGCTACAATAATATTTTGATGTGTACCCACTACATCACTAATCATTTTACGCGTATAAGTAATTTTTTATTATTATTATTATTATTATTTTTTTTTTTTTTGAGCTTGTCGGACAGAAATTATTTTTGTAAAATAGATGCTCACTATGTTATGTAACGTACACCGTATTATTATTTTCGAATTATTATCCATCAGCTTGACCCTATATTAGCTAATAACCAAGTATTATAATACCTATATACCTATCTGCAGGCTAATAAGTAATAACTGATCTATAGTACCACCGAGACTACAAGTACTCGCGCGTTAATAACGAAATAAAATTCCGTTAATAATATATTATTAAACATTCGCAACGTGGAATTTATCTAATATAAAAAATATCGATGGTTGGTGGAGCGTATTTATAGGCGGTGGCTGAGGGGGCTGCAGCCGTTCCCGACATTTCTTGAAAATAGCAGTGCGGTTTCGTTTGAAAGTAGGACGGGTTCTCGAACTTTAGAACTGTATGCATGAAAAACAAATTCGCAATTATTAAGGTGCAGGTAGTAAATACTAATACTTGTCACGTGTTCGAATCGAATATTCGACTAGTCATCGGATTAGCTCCGTAAATATATCGCATCTATCAGCACACCTACCCCTCCCCCCCAGAAAAAAAAATCGATAGACATTTATTCCTACATTTTTATTCAATTATTATCTGATCATTATTAGTATTTTATTATTAATATGGTTATGACAGCCGATACGCGATTTGTGCCGTATGCGCAAATAAATAATTTAATAAACAAGTAGTGTATTTTTAGATTTTAAATAAAAAAATGTACGCGAACAGACGAACACGCAATATCGGGTTCGCTTCCCCCGGCATTGAGAAATCCTAGCCATGCCAACGGTCTGCGGTAGAAGAGAGACGGAAGACGACCGGCGGCGTTGCGCAGTTATTTGTAGTTTGCGAAAACCTTTTATCGTAAACATCCCGTTTTTTTTCACTGGTCGGCCGGTGTAAAACAAGCGAAAATCTCGAGGTCTCAAAAAGATAATAATGAACATAATATTTAATATTATACAACAACAACGGTCCCGGCGATGGCAAAGATAGTATATATATATATATATATATATATGTATAAAATAAAATGCGACGGGGGAGAGTGGAACAAGATACGAGGCATAAAGAAAAACCACGAGACGACCGGGAAACGGATGAAAGTTAAAATAAATAAAAACATTCCGAGAGTACATAACTATTATTGTAAGCGAAGTCGCGATAAATTTTTTTATGCCTCGGCCTTTCATCTGAGTATTATTGCAACGCAAAGATCTGAAAAATTCCGGTGGCATATTTAAAGTGAGTTTCATCACCACCGCCGCACAAAATATCTAATAATCCCCTGTCCTTTAATCTATATACCTGTCACCTCATCTCTCGGCTCCCTCGTAATTTTTCGAATTTTCTTAACTGTCAAATAATATTTACTTTTTTGCAGATCTCGGAATAAACTCGTTTATCCATTGAAAGATCAAAATACACGTACGAGGCATGAACATTGTTAGATTATATTATGTGTATAGCACCTAATCGACACAAAATACAGAGATGACAAATATTCTACTATAGCGTCCTCTTGAGATTATTTTAAAAAAATATAATTCATACCCGATACGATGTTTAATAAAATCAACTTAATAAAGTCGGTGGAATGCAATAATAATATAAATGTGAAATTAACAAGTTCATTAAAAAAATAATCATTTTTCCCTTATGACCGATCCGTGAACGAGTCTACATTTCGAACGATGTTCCTAAGATCCGTTTCTGTGTATGCCTAATATTTTGAATTATATATTATGAAGATTTTTTTTTAAAAAAAAATACATACGTATTAGGTACATCTCTGATGAAAAAAAAAACTAATTAAATTCACAATTTGTCTTTAACATGTTTTATTTACGAATACCGAAAACAATGATTTATAGAAATGAATAATTCTACATCGTACATTTTATAATACTCTGTTAATTTAATCTAGACAATTTGTTGGTTCAAGAAACGCGCGTCAATATTATCGAAATAATATTAGGTATTTGTAAAGTTGAAAAATTCGATATTTTCGAAACGTATTTGAATCACAATCAAGTACGTTTATAGTTGATATTACAAGCACGTGTTGAGCTACTGAGCCGTTTGAAAAATATTTTCGGTTTTTCGGCGTGAATAATAATATTTCTTTCGTACCCCGCAAATCGTATATGATTACTGTAAGCAGGCAGTCCCGCTTACATACTTTCTGAATGAAGTAATTAAATATATTATACTTCTCAATGACGACGAATCTCGTCGGGAATATTTTAAGATATTCAATTAAATATTTTGTTTATACACCCGACGAAAACGTATACATATTCATAAATCGAATATTTTAAAGAAAAATGGAAGAAACGACCACGACGCGTTTTATAATAAACGCGTACATAAATGTTATTTCAAAATGTATATTATATTTTAGATTTAACGGAATAATTAAACAACAGCCGTGTTCGTCAAAAGTATTATTTAATTTGCATAACAATATACAGGCCTAACAATAATATTGTGTTGAGTGAAAATCGTGTATTACGTATATTGTTACAGGGGATAATTTATTTAAAAATGTCGATAAAAAATCTTTGTCGCGATTGTCGAGTTCATTCGTTCGACAGACGGACATAATGTTTTTTGTTTTTAGAGCTGAAGTTCAGATCCATTAAGTTATTATACAAATTTAGATCAACCGCACGCAACGGAAAATCATCGCGCACGAATTTCGACCGGCTAATTCAATCGTTTTGTACATACTACAATGTATAACGTACTACGTTTCGATACACGGATTAAACATCGCCCCCCCTCCCAGAAAACGTGTATTATTTGATCGTCTAAACATCGTGTTAAATTTGAAAATCAAATCGGAAATCGAAACCGGCGTTTAATAACTTGAACCTATACGAACATATTGTCAAAAAAAAAATATATATATATATATGCATATAAAGCCGGTGCTCGTGTTTTTTAATAGATTGTGCGCAGTTAACCGTTTCACCGTTATGTTATACGTATACATAATATATACGCGTTTCTGCAGCTGAAGACCCGAAAACGTGAAAATGTCCCGACTGGTTGCCAGCAGTCCGGCGATTGTAAAACTTCTCGCGGGGTCGTTACGTACAGCCGTATACTATCATAGAACACGGTAAACGGCGAACGATAATAATAATAATAATAACAATCGAGTGGAACGAAGAAAAGAGAAAAAAAAAACCCCGTCCCGCGATCATTTCGCGTTCGAAAACTTGTATCATTACTGCGAGGGAGTTTTGGGGGGGGGGGGTGGAGGTGGGGAGGCGGAAATTAACTTGCATCGGCGCAATAACGACCTTTGGAGAAAAAAAACGCCGCGGATAATAATTTTCGTTTTTTTTTTTTTCGTTTTGTTCTCCGATCGGACCTCGCGAACGCCGTCGCGTTATTATTTCATTTGGCCGGGCTCCCGCCGTAATAATATTCCGCCGTCCCCGTCGCCGTCGCATTCGGTTTCCGCGCGTGTAGGTACGACGGCGTAGTCATTACGGGCGGACATGTATACGGGGAGTTATTAGGAACCGAGCCAAAACCGCCGTGGAAACAAATTGACACCGGCGAACGCTGTGCCGAGCGAGCTGCGATACCATTATTATTATACGGTTCGTGAACTTCGGGAGCTATATAATATTATAAACGAGTAACAGGTTTAAATACGTTATTATGATATTATCATTATTATTATTATTATTATTGCGTTCGACGATTTTAATACGAGATTAACGACAACGTGGAAACGCTTAAAACATATTATGCACTGCTCGTCATCGTCGTCGTCGTCGTCGTATGCCGCGGCGATCCGTTTATAATGCGATGGAGGATAACGGCATCGCGGAAAAAAAAAAACTCATCTTCAAACCCGATATAATAAGTATGAATAATCATGTCCGCGGAATTGCGCGACGGTTGTCGAAGGAAAATGAGCAAATGTCAGAAACCTTCGTGGACCCAGCGTAGTTGGGGGTACGTAACCTAACAGTGTCCTGTACACAAAATTAAACATTTACCGACCCCATGCGTCAAATTTTCCGACTTCAATAAATATTATATTTTCACCGATTATATTGCGGTTTGATGAGCGATAAATTTAACGATTATAATATGTAATCGCGTAGGTAATAAAGGACCAAAAAAAAAAAAAAGACTAAGAAATTAATAATTTTGGCGAATTTAAAACTGAATTATCGTTGAATTGCCGACTACGTAGTCTAAATTTCCAAGATAAAGAAGATGTTAACCCCCCTCTCCCCGTGCCCCTCTATCTCCGATCTTGCACCTATAAAGTCGCGAATTTGAAATGTAAGTGGAACAAATGTACCTTGTTGCCCTGGAGCGGTAAAAATTATGGATATCTGAACGAATTGTAAGGTTGAATATTCCGTTGACTACAAAATTTTATGCCCATAACAAAATACATGTATAAAGTGTTGAATTTTAGATTTTGAAAAAGAAAACTTGAGGAAGAAAGGGTAGGGCTATATGTTGGTTCTCGGGGTGGAAAACGACTGAAATTTCTGGGTACTTAAGGTTTTGATTTCAAAATTAAATACTTCTATCGAGGAAATAAACATAATATTATTTTATTTCTAGGTGTTCCATCTCAAATATCCTTTCACTGACCGCGGCGTTGGTACTTATTGAAGCTTAATATTTAAAAAAAAAAAAAACACGCCTACTATATTATATAATTTCATATCGAGTGTGGAGTCTATAAAAAAAAAAAAAATGTATGTATATACCTATATTATTTATGAATTATATGATATGGAAACGTTTGAGATTAGGCGCGGCGAAGAACCCATTAATTTATTAGAGGTATATTACATTAATATTTCCCCCTCGACAATCTTCGTACAAAAATCCTTATAGATTACTTACTGCTGGTTGTAGCTTTCGAAAAAATGTTTTTTTTTATATATTTTTTAAACTAATGTTAAAATGAACGCTCAACTATACAAATCGATATAAAAATAGATTATAATTTAAACAAAAAATAATATACTTTTATACAATGTACTAAAATATTATAAAGTCAATTTAAAAATTAATTATTACTTAGTAATATTTCAACAACTACAAGTACACTTGTAACGTTACCGATCAAAAGATACGAAAATATAATATAAAAAAGACCGACAAATGTAAACACGTCGGCTCAACGACTATATAAAAAAAAAAAAAAGTAACTTTATATAAAATCAAAATCAATTAATTCCAATTTCAATATAACTATTAATTTTTATAATTAAATAAAAGAAAATTAATATTTTAATAAAATATCGATTTACATTAAACACCTAGGCTTTTTCAATCGCATAATAATATTATATTATTACCAAGTTCTTGCACCCAAAAATATTTAACGATATTCCAAAATCCCCCAACAATATCTCTTATAAAGATCCGAACAAATTTGATCAATTCAATTATTGTAAATATTATTTTAATTTGTTATTTTATTGTATACGTCACGTTTTAAACTACATTTTTCCGGTGTAATTTGTTTGTCATAAAACCGTCTACTGTATAATATTATAATTTATACAATAATTTTACCTGTATTTCGTGCACGAATTCTTGGTCGTCGAGCAACACGATTTTGCAATGGTGCGTCCGGGCGCTAGTACAAAAACAACCCATGATTGATTCTATATGACTTTTGTATCTTATATCGTAGAGATCTAAAAATAAAAAAACAAAACACAAATATTAACGTCTTTATTAGTGATATCGAACGTTCGGTTTCCACGGGCTATTCGAGTATTACGAGTTAGTTATGGTATTGCGAAAAGAGCAAGCATGTATGTGAGAAGTATGCCAAGAACTCCGTTTACGAAACTGATCGTAGAAGACACGAGAAGAACCATTAACAAAGAACCGAAATGTAGCTGAGACGAATAGGAACGAGTGATGGGGTCCATTGAAGTCATTAAACTAACATAATGATCGAGCGATATAAATAAATACTCTTGTCATGTACGATTTATATACTAGGTATCGAATTTAAAAAACACAACCCAATTTCGGTAATATTATAACACTCCTAAGTTTAAGCGCATTTTATTGTTCTAGACATCTTGGGTACCGTAATTCGGCGGAATTGAACTGTTATCGGATGTAACGTTTGTTTTACCGATTGTCTGATTAACGCTAATTATAATTCTCGTCAGTTATCTATAGCTACATCGGTACGAAATCAAATGCGAGTAAAGGTTGTTTTGGATAACGTGCGACGTCTCTTAAGTCGATATTCGTTTGTCATGGTAATATATTATAATTTATGCCAGTTGACGAAAAAATAGTCTGCTAAACTTTCCGCCGCGGTTCGAAATGTCTTTTGTTTGCGGTATTATACTATACGCAGTTCAGTATGTTTTCTCGTCGTGACCCTTTGAAACGATTCATTTCAACGAGCCTTCTGTATGTTGTATAAGGATATTAAACGCAGCGCGCCCATTGTAATTTGTATAATATTATAATATGTTGAACGTTTTCGCCCTCGGCATTTTAATTCGAAATAGCGCATAGTTTATCCGTTTACCGTATTATAAATGTATAACAATATTGTCCGACACGCGCTTATTATTATTATTGTGTTGGCCGCAAAATGTATTCATTCGATTTCCTACTATACGGACGAATTCGTATAGTGATCCGGCAATTGTCTCGGTGGATTTTAAGCAAATTTGATTTCTGTTGATTTCAATCAACATGAAATTATATTGTTCGAGATTTGTTTTAACACTGTTTACCACTGTCCCTTGGACCTCAAATGAGTTTTAAAATTTAGTTCTCAAATGACAGCACGTAAATAGCTGATTAATCGTCCACGAATGTGGTAGCGGTGGAGCCGTTTTACCATTTTTATACTCGAATTTAAAAAAAAAAAAAAATCGGAAGTAGTATTGTTGTAGTTGTATAGTATAGTAGGTTCTGTATTATTTTTATATAGCATTCGGTTATTTATTGTTTCACGAGGAATATTTCTATAATACAAAATAGGTGAGGGGAGAAATTCGATTCCAGTGGCGGAGCTCTATTGCTCACGGGTGTTATTTTTTTTTTTTTCTTTTCAAAAAGGCTTCGATTAAACGTTAGATTTTTATGCCGTAGCCGTATAATATGTAACCCATCGCCGCAATTTCCCGCTGTATGTTCGGTTGGTCGACCAGAATTGGAATTTCGGGATATCGTTTCCCCCGGGGAATCGTGCTGCGATGAAACGACACGATGCCTGCTGCAGCGTAGCTAGCGGGGCGACGCGGGACGGGGCTTTACAAACTTAACCCGCGGGACGTTGTCCAAAACATTTGGCCATAAATACGATTTACGCGCCGAAATAACCCAAAGTTTTACGCGCGCGTGATGGATAAGCTGCTGCTGTGTATACAGTATAAAAATAATACGAACAAAAAAGAACATATTGTTATTATTCTGACAAAAAAAAAACCACGCGCTCTCTGCAGATATAACAAAATAAATGAAGAATTAACGAAATATCATGTTTCTGATGCCACTACAAAATAATATAACGTAATACTTATTTTCTTTAGGGAACCGTGTGGTTCCCCGGAGTCTTCGCGAGGGAAAAAAAGCGATGATAAATTGTATTGTGAAAATACGAAACTGCAGACACTATAATCCGTGACTGGAATTATTATCCGTGACGAGCGAAATATCGTCCGTCGAGCTTTTAAATATTTAATCGGATAAACATAAAATTTATGTATCTTTTGACGATAATATTATATTGTAAAATTAAGGAACCGAGTTTGTGCACAAGACAGACGATTGCGCGTTGATGATGGCTTTCGGCAAATAGATATTTATTTTCTCTTTCATCGTCTCGTCTCGAATTAAGGCCGACGAAATATGAGTATTTTACAAAGATAAATATTGTAATATAATTCGTTTTGTGAATCGCGTTGCATACTGTGTATCGTTTACCATATATATACATATATTATTCGCTTCTATTAAAATATTTCCAACAGCGGTACACAGAGAGTAAAAAATCCGTAAATTATATAAATGCCGGTGCACTCCGGAGTCGTTTCTTTTATGAAATAAACATTTAAAACACACAAAATATATAATGCTTAAATAACGTTGATATTGTTAACAAGTGAATTCCTTGTGTAAAAATTCTTCTCGTAGAAAACCAAACACGGTAATTTCATATGGCCGTGATAATAAGTGACACAGTTTAGTGTCTTACTGAATAAATAATGCTGAAAAACCGTTCGAAAATAGAGTATTGGTAGGCCTCAACAAAATGATGATAATATGAAAATGGTGTGGAGAAGAAAGTTTCGCAAAGAGACACAAGAATAAACGGTAACGGTCATAAGTTTAGCCATCAGCCTAGGATAATACGGATGGATGTTGTAAATGAAGGATCTCGGTAGAATGGAAGTAGAAAAACGGAAAGAATATATCTGATTAGTTCAGAATAAAGAGTAAAGCGGAGTGCTATTGTGATGCCAGCGAAAAAAAAACAGAAAGTATTAAATTCCAGAAAATAATAATATCGAGTTTATAGTATAACTAATACGAAATTCGCAATTAAATATAAAAAAAAAAAAACATTCGTCGGATAAATTATTC